TAACTTTAGAAGACTTAAAAAAAAAAAAACACAAAACACCCAAACTCTGACATGCTCATATTCAAAGCACTTATTTCACAAGTTCTAGAAAGAGATGAGGGCATTTTCCTTGTAAGGGAACTTCTGTCCTTTGGAGCTCAGAGACACAGTAACTTGCCTGAAATGACAAAGCAAGAAAACACCAGCTCTGGGTTTCGTGCTCTTTCCAAAGCTATCCCCTTCATCACCTTCCCATCCCCCCAGCTCTTACCACCTCTATCTGTTCCCATCCCTGCGATTTTCCATCCCTACTAGTTTCCACCGTGCAGTTCTTCCCTCTCCCTGCATCTGGCCTGTGAAATGATGACAGGCCAGGCAACTATGTCCCCATTGGCCTTTGTCCTGGTGTCAAAGCCCTCCTGTGTGGCATGCAGCCCTCTGGATAGGGTGCCAGCTATGGACAGGATGTACCAGGCCCCTATTCCCTTCATCAGTGGTTTGTAGGGCCAATACCAAGTCACTTCCTGCCACCGCCAATGATGGGATACCCCAAGCATCACTTGCACATAGAATGGTGGCTGTGATAGACCCACAGGCCAGAGAATCCTTTCCATTACAGTCCTTTCAAGGGGCACACATGCATACATAAGTGTGTGCATGTGTGTTCATGTAAAGGAGAGGGGGCGTAGAAGCCTGTTAGCTGTATAACTGTTTTCTAGATACCTGGCCTCAAGGTAAATGTCTAGCAATGCACTTTCTTTATTGATACAGTTTCATGTAGCCGAGGCTGGCTTTGATTTCTTTGTAAAGCAGAGGATGACCCTGAACTTCTCATTCCCTTCCTCCACTGCTGGAGTGCTGGGATTGCAAACACACACCGCTGTGCTTGGTTTTATGTGGTGCTGGGCATGGAACCCAAGACCTTGTGCATCCGGGAAGAGGGGGGAGGGAGCTACAAGAATGAGAAGGGAAGAAGAGGAAGGATGCAGAGGTCATGAGGGAGCAGAAAGGTTGAGTCAGGGGAAGAATAGAAGAAAGGATATGTGATAGGTAGGGTTTTAGTTGGAGGGGGTGGTTGGGGGAGGAAGGGAGGGAGAAGGGAACTGAGATTGTCGTGTAAAACAATCTTGTTTCTAATTAGAATAAAAAATAGTTAAAAAAAAAAAGATCTTGTGCATCCTAGGCTAGCACCCTACCACTAAGCTATACCCCCAGCCTACCTTTTACCCTCCTCCCTCTCTTTCCACAACAGCCACCTCGTCAGGCTGCTTTCTTTCTTTTAAGACAACGTCTTGCCATGTAGCCTAAACTGGCCCTGAACTTTCCTCAGCCTCCAAGTACTAGGATTAGAGATGGTAACCACTGAGCCTGGGATCAGGTGCCATTTTACTTTTGGGCTGGGATCTTGGGCTCCTACTCAAATTTGCACCCATTTCTGCCTCATAGGAAGAGCACAGGCCCAGCGGGGTGTCTCATGCTTTTAATCTCAGCACTCAGGAGGCAGAGGCAGGTGAATCACTTTGAGTCCAAGGCCCAAGTTCCAGGGCAGCCAGGGCTGTTATACAGAGAGAAATCCTGTCTTGAAAAAAAAAAAAAAAAAAAAAAAAAGGCAACCACGGCAGCCCCTGCCCACCCTCTTTCCTTGCACTACTTGGATTGGGTTAGAGCTCCCACTGGGAAGATTCGGAAAACCAGCACTTGAGCCCCCCAATAAGAAACTGGGCAGAAATAGTACAGCCCTTCCATCCCAGAGCCCCAAGATGTCCTTGTTCATTCCACACCCCCATGAGCATGATATTGTACTTCAGGGGTCACCCTGTGATCCCCTGACTTCTACAAGGACTTCTTGGACATGACTCTGAATGCAGTGTGTATAATTATATTGTCTAGTTTGTGTAAATGACAGCCCTCTTAACTGGCTGCTACGGGCATAGTTGTCATGTAGGCAAAATTTGTTTCAGACACCAACCACTTCCTTTTTCTACCCTCCCAATATTCAAAACTTCTGGGCCCTCATTTCCCTTCCCATGGCCTCATGGTAGCTGGTTCCCAGTGTCTGTCAGTTTCTCCATGGATGGTCCTCCAAGTGGGAGCACTCTCATTGCACAAGACTTGCTCTCAGGGCCTCAAAGGTTTGTGGGAAAGGAAGGAAGGGTTTGTAGTGACAGTTAGTCCTGTAGAGTTACCAGCAGATCAGAAGACTGGCATGTTTCCTTGCTTTGGTTTCCAAAAGGGTGAAATGGGGTGAAAGCCATCTCCTCAAGATAGTAATGTAAGGATGAAATGAGCTGCACAACCTAGTGAACAGATCTCTTTACAGTTATTATAAGGAGATTTAAGAGTCTCTAACAGTCTCCATTCCCCTAGAAAGAGACTCCGAAGCCCTTTTCTTTTCTTCTTGTTGTTTTAAGACAGGATCTTATATAGACCAGGCTATTGCCCAGCTCACAATGTAGCCAAAGATGACCTGATTTCCTGATTGTCCTGCCTCTACTTTGTGAGTGTTGGAATTATAGGCATGCACCACCATGTCTGACTTACCTGATGCCAGGGCTTGGGTATTCTGGGCAAACACTGTGTCAGCTGAGTGATGTCCTTAGGCCCTGCACTTTGAATCTCTTGAGAGAAGATCTTTGCAGTCTAGGCTGGCCTGAAACTCACTATTGGACAAGGCCAACCTCAAGCTTACCAGGGACCATAGTTAGTCCCTGGGATATTGCTGGTCAAGCAGTCTCGTGTGTGTGTGTGTGTGTGTGTGTGTGTGTGTGTGTGTTTGTGTGTGTGTGTGTGTGGTGTTGTTTTGTTTTTTGTTTTGACAAAGGCTTACTAGTAAGCAGCCAGGCTAACTTCCCAACTCCAGGAAATTCTTTTTCCTCAGTTTTCTGAGTGCTGAGATTAAAAGTGTACATCACCATGTCTGGCTGGGTGAATGTTCTTAAATGCTAGCAAGTGTCTGTGTGTGTGATGGAGTCTACTAAGTCAAGGGGTGCTTTCCCAAGGATTTAGCAGAGAACCAGAGGAAAAGGAAGACGAGTGAATGTGGTGAGCAGACAGGAATTGTAGCTGCAGACTCACTGATGGCATCCAGAAAAGTACATGGTTGAATAAACAGCTGGAGGAAAAGCAGAGGTTGAGAATCAGGGAGCAGAAAATGGCTAATCTGGAGGTCAGCCTCCATCACATCCATGGCTCAGCCAGTTAATTTTGCGTTCACTATGTCCCAGACTCAGTCACTTGTCTCCAGCACCAGTGACCCAGATTGAGCAAGTCCAAATGAAGCCTTTCAGTTCCTGGTCCCCTAGAGGGTACTTGGCTGTCCCTTTCCCTGACTTCCAGAGAGCAGCACCCCTAGATGTTTCCTTTCTTGTCCCTTGGAGAGATCCTTTCTGTCTCTTTTGTAAGAAACCCTCTACCCTTGCCTAAAACCAGTGGCTGCATCCTAGCCTCAGTCCAGACCAAGCTCAAGATCTCAAACTTCTTTTCTGGCAGTCGAGTAATTCTGTCCATGCTGCGGTTTCAACTCTTGCTTAAGCAAGGCTGACCTTTGCCACTCAGATCTCTCCTCTGACCTCTTGCTATTTACTTAACATGTCCGCCTCACAGTCACAAAACTTTCTCCAAGCTACTCTATATCCAAAGCCAAACTTATGAATTTTTTTCCCTCCAGTCAGAGCTCTTCCAGAGTTCCCATCAGTGCATAACCCGCCATGTGTTCATACAAGGAACCTGGAACTACCTGATACTGTCTGTCTTCTCTGTTACTTCCACATCCAGAAGCTGAGTTCTGGAACCTTCTAAATGCCCCCCCAATCCACTTTCTGTCCTTATTTTCTTAGCAGTGGTGGCAGCAGCAGCAGCAGCAGCTCAGCAGCTCAGGCCTAACCCCTGACTCCTGTTTGATGACCCCTACAGCTTCATATCTCATGCCTCGTGCCCAACTTACTGTTCTCTATGGGCCAGCTAAGTTTTGTGAGCCACACATCGGTGTCCAACATATTCTTATATCTACTTCAAAGCCCAAACCCCTCCACATCTCTCAGCCCTCCTAACATGAAGAAAGATGATCCCCCACACCCTTTCTTCCACAGCAGGGTCTTGTGTAGCCCAGGCTAGCCTCAATGTATAGCCAAGGATGACCTTAGACTTTTGGTCCTCCTGTTTCTACCTCCAAGATACAAGGATTAAAGGAATGTGCCATCATCCCCTGTTTAAGGAAGATGATTTTTTTCCCCTTGAGATAGGGCCTCACTATGTATCCTGCCTGGTCTGGAAGTCATTATGTAGTCCAGGCTGACCCAGAACTCACAGAGATCCACTTTCCTCTGACTCCTGAGTGCTAGGATTAAAGATGTAAACCACAATGCCTGGCTGGGATGATGATTGTTTTGTTTTGTTTTGTTTTTCAAGACAGGGTTTCTCTGTAGCTTTGGAGCCTGTCCTGGAACTCACTCTGTAGACCAGGCTGGCCTGGAACTCACAGAGATCCACTTGCCGCTGTCTCACAAGTACTGGGATTAAAGGCACGTGCCAACACCACCCAGCTAGGATGATGATTTTTAAGAGGCCTAAAATATGAAGCAAGGTCTCACATAGTCCTTCTTTTTCTGCAACATTGATGTCTTTTGTGGGATTTGTGGAGCACTGGTTCCTTGCTTGGACTTGGGAGCCCTGGTAGAGCTGGTACAATCATCTCTCAGAGGACGTGCAATTCTGCAGATGGCTAATCCTGTCTAGTTCATGATTCCTTTTATCTTTTCTTCAATGTTGGCTCTTAGTACCTTAGCTAAAGAGAGGACAGGTCAACTATCCCTTGGAATATGTCACTTCCCTCCTTCCCAGGGGAACCTGAGTGCTGCTGCATCCTCAGCGGAAGCTGTCTGCCACTGTGATCTGTGGGAAGAGTGGACTGTGTTTAAGATTCCCTTTGCTCAGTTTCCCCTCAGTTTTAGGCTGTGACCCAAAATGCTTCCAGAGAAAGTCCCTTTTTGCTTCTTCTCAGATGTCTTTGTCTTCCATTGTAGCCATGGAAATAAGGAAGCCTTCTCTTGCCGGGGAATTCGTCTGGCTGTGGACTGGTTTCGGGACAGAGGACACACCTACATCAAGGTTTTTGTTCCATCTTGGAGGAAAGAACCATCAAGATCTGATACGCCTATCAGAGGTATGCCACACACTGTTCTGTGGCAGTGTCACCCACTGTGGTGGTCAACTACCTGCTTAATGCTGGTTTAGTGGTCTTTCTCCTTGTACTGAAAGTTCCATGAATTCATAGTTCACCCTGACTATGAACAGTTAAAATTCTAGCTCCCGGCCCTTCCTCAGAGCAGAAATACCATGAAAACTTATAGGATACACAAATACTCTATAACTCTTACTTGCTCACTTACAGATAAACACACCACTTTATCATTTATTGGAATGATTTATAGATAAAACAGTTGTGTCTTACAACTTTTAACCCTCTGAAGATTGAGTCTGTGCTTCGCACCTGATCATAAATGGCCTGTCAGGGAGACATTCGTTCTGTCAGGTAATCCTATTTGCCAAATACCTCTTCAATCTTTCCATTTAAAGAAATGGAAGTGGAGACCCAGAAATTATTTTTAGTGTTTTTTGTTTTCTTTCTGTGCTGGGGGTCAAACCAGAGGCTGTGCCCATGCTAGATAAGCATTACAGCCCTACATATCATATTTAATTGGTTTTATTTTGTATGACATATGCATATTTTGTGTGTGTGTGTGTGTGTGTGCGTGTGTGTGTACACGCATGCTCGCACGTGCATGTGCGCTCCTGCATGTGCGCCCCTGCATGTGTACCCTCAGAAGCTTGAAGAGGCTGTTGAATTTCTGCAGCTGGAGTTGCTAATGGTTTGAGCCACCCAGTGTGAGTACTTGGAACTATCTGTGGTACTCGGCAAATCCATCCAGTGTGCTAACCACTGGGCCTTTTTTTAGTTACCAACCCATTTTCTCTCTCTCTCTCTCTCTCTCTCTCTCTCTCTCTCTCTCTCTCTCTGATGCAAACTGCACGAGGCTTTATTATAGTTGTTTAACGAGCTAACCCCATGTCAGCTTGGGCCTTTCATCCACCCACCATGGCGGATGGCTAGAAAGACAGCTTGAAGCATCTGCATAGAGATCTTATAGGGCAGCATAAGGGGAGTGTCTAGGGATACGCACAGGCTCAGGATTGGTATGGCTCCAGGCTTGGAGGGCTTACCCTGTGTTGATTGGTGAACTGGTTGTTATGGCCCATAGGCCCTCCCAGGGTGGTTGCTATGCTCTTGTCCATAAAGCACACCCAGAGCCGTAAAGCATAGCACCACCAGCTAACTTCTGATTGGTTCCTTGCCATGAGGCAGGCATTTGACCTCTTAGTGACAAAGGCAAGGTCATGGCGAGCACGTGTTACTGTCATGGCTGCTGAAATGGGGAGCTGGTCCCTTCATTCCCCCATTTTTTTTTTTTTTTTTTGGAAATTCCAATCATGGAATTGCTGTCTCTCTAATGCCCCCATCAGGGAGTAAGAGATATTGGCATCCCCATGCAAGGGAGTTCCTTCTGACTTAGCATTTTAACCAGGGAAAATGGGCGGCGAATTCTTTCCCATGCTACTTCCTGCTGACTTTGGGACGAAGTTAGGGAGCCAAGAAAGCTGAAATGCTAGTCAAAAGCAAAAAAGGGAATTCAGGCAATGGGGAAATCCATCAGGAGCTGTTGGCAGACTCTGTTGCAGAGACAGGGGGTGTCCACATCATCTGGACTGGTTCACATCCACAGCAAGTCCAGGGCTCG